TCTCCAAAAATTAGGGTTTTAAAACTAGAAAGGAGATTTCATGGGTATTAAACCCTACTTTGTTCAAAACATGTAATCCTTGCAAAAAGCCTAAGAGAGGATGATTCCATAGCATATATATACCATTGATAGCCAAAACATACATATATAAATACCCTAGCCTCAATGTAAGTGAATGAGAGAAAACCCCTACCTTGAATCCTTAGCTTTGGAGTGAAGAACAAGAATATTTGATCTTGAATCACCCTTGAATTTCTTGTTTTTCCCTTCCTTTCTTCTTCTCTAATGCATTTTAGGGTTTCAAGAGGTGNCCTACCTTGAATCCTTAGCTTTGGAGTGAAGAACAAGAATATTTGATCTTGAATCACCCTTGAATCTCTTGTTTTTCCCTTCCTTTCTTCTTCTCTAATGCCCTCTAGGGTTTCAAGAGGTGTGGGGGTGTGAGGGGAGTGAAGGAAATGAGAGCAAATGAGATGAAAATGAGTTTAAAACATAGTAGCCCCAAAAAATACTGTTCACAGGTTGTTTTGGGTTTCTCCAAATTTACGGTTTTGCCACTAAGAATTTCCAATTTGATTCATATGACTGCCCTAAGGTTTTTCGACGTTCCGGATTCATTTTTAATGTTATTTTAACCTAAAAATATTTATTTTTGTGATTTATCTCAACACCCAAGTCAACGTACACCCGAAACACTAAAATTTCTATTTTACCTATCCGAATCGGCTATTAATGAAGTTTTGCGATGTTTGCAAATAAAAGGTGATAAAGGGTGTTTCTTAAAACCTTTTATACTTATTTGAAGCCTAAAAGTACTCATTATTTTTATATTTTGATTTAGGATGCAAATGGAGACATTAAATGCAAAACGAAGCTAATTGGACTATTTCGACATCATTTCGTTATCTGAGCATAACTCTCTCATCCAAGCTCCGATTGAGATGATTCAAGATGCTATGGAATGATACGAAAGAGCTCTAAAACTTTCATGTTTTGAGTTTTGAGAGATATTGACTGCATCAAGGTCTAAATCGAGCTTGAAGTTGCAGCAGTGCACTGTTCATAGCCTGTCTTCGTCCCTTTTCCATTTCCAATCCATTCCTAAGCCAACCAAATCTATCCCAAACCTCTCCAACACATATTTCTACACCAAACCTATTTAATACAAGTTCTAGGACCTAAAATTTCATATTTTCACTTATTAAAACCAAATTTCAACTATTATTTTCACTAACATTTTAAATCTCTACTTTTTCAATCTACCAAATTCAAACACACATCACTACATATATCCACATTTTTTTTATCACAATTATTTACTATATATCTATATACATATATAAAAGAAAATGCGGGGTGTTACATGACGTCAGCCCTAATACCTGAACAGTTGTGCCTGTTGTGTTTCTCCGATGGAACACCGTGATATTTGATGTATTTTGGGTCTAAACCTGCTCTGATACTATGTTAGTATTTGTTGAAGAGAGAAGAAAGAAGAAATAGAGAGACAATATTATTAAGTTAAANCATGAGATCACAATAACATCATTTTTCTACCCAGCACAAAGCACTAAGGTTTTGAATTCCATAATAAAGAAAACATTTAGGAAGGAAATACATCACTCTCCAAAAATTAGGGTTTTAAAACTAGAAAGGAGATTTCATGGGTATTAAACCCTACTTTGTTCAAAACATGTAATCCTTGCAAAAAGCCTAAGAGAGGATGATTCCATAGCATATATATACCATTGATAGCCAAAACATACATATATAAATACCCTAGCCTCAATGTAAGTGAATGAGAGAAAACCCCTACTTTGAATCCTTAGCTTTGGAGTGAAGAACAAGAATATTTGATCTTGAATCACCCTTGAATCTCTTGTTTTTCCCTTCCTTTCTTCTTCTCTAATGCCCTCTAGGGTTTCAAGAGGTGTGGGGGTGTGAGGGGAGTGAAGGAAATGAGAGCAAATGAGATGAAAATGAGTTTAAAACATAGTAGCCCCAAAAAATACTGTTCACAGGTTGTTTTGGGTTTCTCCAAATTTACGGTTTTGCCACTAAGAATTTCCAATTTGATTCATATGACTACCCTAAGGTTTTTCGACGTTCCGGATTCATTTTTAATGTTATTTTAACCTAAAAATATTTATTTTTGTGATTTATCTCAACACCCAAGTCAACGTACACCCGAAACACTAAAGTTTCTATTTTACCTATCCGAATCGGCTATTAATGAAGTTTTGCGATGTTTGCAAATAAAAGGTGATAAAGGGTGTTTCTTAAAACCTTTTATACTTATTTGAAGCCTAAAAGTACTCATTATTTTTATATTTTGATTTAGGATGCAAATGGAGACATTAAATGCAAAACGAAGCTAATTGGACTATTTCGACATCATTTCGTTATCTGAGAATAACTCTCTCATCCAAACTCCGATTGAGATGTTTCAAGATGCTATGGAATGATACGAAAGAGCTCTAAAACTTGCATGTTTTGAGTTTTGAGAGATATTGACTGCATCAAGGTCTAAATCGAGCTTGAAGTTGCAGCAGTGCACTGTTCATAACCTGTCTTCGTCCCTTTTCCATTTCCAATCCATTCCTAAGCCAACTAAATCTATCCCAAATCTCTCCAACACATATTTCTACACCAAACCCATTTAATACAAGTTCTAAGACCTAAAATTTCATATTTTCACTTATTAAAATCAAATTTCAACTATTATTTTCACTAACATTTTAAATCTCTACTTTTCCAATCTACCAAATTCAAACACACATCACTACATATATCCACATTTTTTTTATCACAATTATTTACTATATATCTATATACATATATAAAAGAAAATGCGGGGTGTTACATGACGTCAGCCCTAATACCTGAACAGTTGTGCCTGTTGTGTTTCTCCGATGGAACACCGTGATATTTGATGTATTTTGGGTCTAAACCTGCTCTGATACTATGTTAGTATTTGTTGAAGAGAGAAGAAAGAAGAAATAGAGAGACAATATTATTAAGTTAGAAACAAATACTAAATTAACCTTAAAGTACACAAAGTAAGCCTTATATAGTAGGGCAACACAACATAAATAAAATGCCTAAACTACCCTTATTATTAATAGTCTAACAGTGACAACCGCTCCTAAAGTTTTAATCCACTTTTCATCATCTTTTAAATGTAGTAATGCAGTCCTAACTTCTGTTGGGTTAGTTCTTTTGCTTTCTTAGAAGGAAATTATTTGATATTGACGTAAATTATTATCTTTTTCAGGAGGTTAGAAATGTCATTAAGACGTCGTGATGTTGAACAGTGGATGAGCCATCGGCGCTTGCCAGAAGAACTAAGAAGGTACCACCTTCTCTTTTTTTTTTTTTCTTCTATTTTTGTTTCTTGTTGTCTTGTGTTGGTTTCCAATTTTTCATTAAGATCTTACTTGAATTCCCTATAACTTGGGATTTTCTTTGTGCTATAACTTGATAATTGTGTAATTTCTATAAGAGCATAGGCTTTTTTCCTTTTCCCTTGCCTGTATCACTAGATTGTATATTCAACTATTCGTTCCTATTTGATATAGTTGGGAGGGGCTGGTATGAAGATGAAGTATTTTTCCCCGGAATTTGTGTATTCTGGACCTTACCTCCTGCAGTGTCAAGGGTGTTTTGCTTAATTGTTGAAGTAGAAGTTTGAGTTAGTATTGTTTTCAGCTAAGGACACCGTAATGCTTCGTCTTCCATATAAATTATATTTCTGTCTTTGGATATAGTTTTTTTCTGCAGCCTTGATCCTTAATGTTCGTGGATAAAGCAATTTGTCTTGAGCATTTAAATCTTGCAAGCTTGAGAACCCCAAAATTGGTTTGATGCACTCTGGTTTGGCTCGAAATAGGTGCTTGTTTAGTCAGCTTCCAAGAAATTTCTACTGTTCACTCCTTCGACTTCAAAGCATTTCTTTAGTTTTTTAGTGTCCGAGTATTGTATTTTTGCTTAGATGGAATGGCTGATGGAGACAATTTTTTTAAAAAAATGTGTCTCTTGGTATAGTTGTGGTCATTGAATGTAGATTGTACAGAAAATGAGCTGTTGATTAGGAAACTGACTTCTACTTTCTACGTCATGTAGGCTAGTTCGACAATCAGAACGCTATAATTGGGCTGCCACCAGAGGGGTAAATGAAGAAATGTTGTTGGAGAATTTGCCTGAAGACCTTCAAAGAGATATACGACGGCACCTCTTCAAGTTTGTCAAGAAAGTGAGCTCAACCATCTCATAGTTAATTTCAGTTTTGGATGGCTATTGTGGGTGATCTTCATAGTTGTTGGTGATATGATTGATTCGTTCGATACATGATGCTGCCTCAGTCCAGTCCAGATTAGGAGCAGAGTCTAGGATCTCTAGGTTAATTCTACAGTTTAACTCTAACTTTGCAACACCTGAGTGGGCTTTTATACCTTGCATGATAAATTGCATTGCACTACATAGCTATGATTGTCTCTAACGAGATTATGTCCTTAGTTCACTTGCACCTGTAAATGCTGCGTAAATTATAACTGATTGATATGAACTTAATGGCACTTCCAAGTGCACTCTAAAGAAATATTTTTCAAAATTTTATATTTTTCATTTCTCCAAATGTCTATTTCAACTAAGAACGTAGGTAATATATTAATTTGCAGGTCCGAATTTTTTCCCTGATGGATGAACCCATCTTAGATGCCATATGTGAAAGGCTGAGGCAAAAAACATATATCAAAGGAAGCAAAATATTATACCTTGGTGGTCTAGTTGATAAGATGGTCTTTATAGTCCGGGGGAAGATGGAGAGCATTGGAGAAGATGGAATTACAGTTCCTTTGTCTGAAGGGGATGTTTGTGGTGAAGAACTTCTCACATGGTGCCTTGAGCATTCCTCCGTGTATAGAGGTACAATTGTGATTCTTGAATCTTTGTTTGCTTTTCTTGTTAGGACATAGACTAATTTCTTGGTGGCTTTCTGGTCTAGCTAAGCTTAAACCTAGCTGCTTGTCTACATTGATGTACTTTGTACTACTCTACTCATGGTACATATGATCTAGTTTCAGTACTTTATCCAAATTTTTTTTGTTCTTGTGATTGAGAAATTTCCACTTGAGGACAGCAATACAATCCCTTTCAATAGGCTGGAGGGGTTGCCTTGGCGCATGCAGACATTCTGGACGGCTTACGCTTTTGGAGATATCATTTTAACGTGTACAATATACAATATATTCTTTTGTAGTACCTTCTAATTCTGTTGAATCTTCAATTTCTTCTACTTTGCCATTAGTTTATAACTTCGAACAAATTATAGTTGACGATATGTGCCAATTCATTTCTCAGTTCTGATTATGTATGCACAGATGCAGCTATGAGGGCTAAAATATAGTCATCACTAGTTTTAGGAAACACCTGATTATGTGATCACTAGCGAAAAAATAGCCTCATTGTAGAAGTGGAAGAAAGAAAAATCCGTAATAAAAATAGAGGTACAAGAGGTAACATATAAAATCCTACCATAAGAAAATGGCTAGACTATTCCTAATGAAATAGACAAAATATCTACTAAATACAATCTTAAGACCTCACTCAAACTCATGATTTTGTCCAGAATATAAAAAAAATGCAGCGTCGTATGAGATTTTGTCAAGTTGGCGACTACATAGTGGAAGAAACAAAAGGCTTGGGACATATGTTACCTCTTAGTCCGCTCATGAAAAATAGACTTGTGCGTAATCTAAATGGCACCTACGTAATCACAATGCATAGGAGTAGGAGCATAAGGATAAAACTTATAAATTGGCAAGCAACCATCGCACTGTACTATTTTTAATATAGTATTCCCCAGAAAAGTGCACAAAACTAGTACCCCAAAGATGGCGCGAAATGGGAAGAACTGCAACTCAACGAACTATAGTTAGTGTTTGGAGTTATAGCGGGCTAGTTTATTAGGGTTTATTAGAGTTTTTCCTTTTTACCTTTTTATTCTTATTGTGACTTTTATTGGCTATATATACGGGGGCTCTATCCTTTTNGTTATAGCGGGCTAGTTTATTAGGGTTTATTAGAGTTTTTCCTTTTTACCTTTTTATCCTTATTGTGACTTTTATTGGCTATATATACGGGGGCTCTATCCTTTATTTGTATCCCTTTTCACTCACATCTATCTCAAGTTAGTATCAGAGCCACCAACCCTATCCTCTGCCAAACATCGCAACTAGCGAGACAAAAGACATAGCCAGCACCCACCCTCATCCACCGACTGCCCACACCAAAATCTGCCTCCAACACACCGATAGCCTAGCCTCTGCTCATATAGCAACCAGAATGAAAGACCCTAGCCTCTACCACACAGCATCCAGACATCCACCGACTGCCCTGCGTCAAAAATCCACTGACTGCCCAACCAGTTTGCAGCCCAGCCCTCACCGACCAGAATATATACCGATAGTCAACATACCTTAGCAACCCTCACCAACCAGTACAAGTCGACATGCCTAACCAACACACCGACAAAACCCAGCATTAAACCCGGCCACTCCACCGACAATAAACCAACAAAAGGCTAGCATATTGATAGATAGATACACCCTAAAGTTTTACCAACACACTGACAACATTAAACCCAACGACAAACTATACTTAACTCAATACACATCCAACCCACCGACAAAATTAAACCCAACGACAAACTATACTCAACCCAATACACATCCACTCCACCAACAATTAGCATATACCAACAACATTAAACCTAGCCCACTCCACCGACAGTTAGCATATACCAACTATACCCAACCCATTGCAATTCATACCGACAAACCCAAGTCCCCAGCCAAGCCACTGCCCAAACCAGCAGCGACCCAATTCAGTTCAGAACAGTTGTCCCACCTTCGTGCGCTCTTCGTCACAGTGTTGTCATCTCTTTGCGTCACAACCTTTTAAGGGGTTGAATCCTCTTTTCTATTGATCTGCTCTCGACGCAGTAGATCACTTATTTATATTTCTTGGATTTTTAGGTACCGTGACCTGATTATTTTGGAGCTTTGTGGACCTTTTGTCGCTATTGTTTGACTTTAGGTATATTGTTCTTCCTTATTTTATCCCTCTATTTATCCTAGAGTTATTTTTTCTGTCACGTGTGCCCTAGTATTGTTGATGATATGACTACTNATATTTCTTGGATTTTTAGGTACCGTGACCTGATTATTTTGGAGCTTTGTGGACCTTCTGTCGCTATTGTTTGACTTTAGGTATATTGTTCTTCCTTATTTTATCCCTCTATTTATCTTAGAGTTATTTTTTCTGTCACGTGTGCCCTAGTATTGTTGATGATATGACTACTACTGAGAGACTTGTGACCCCTATTGTTGACACCTCTACCGCTGAGACATCTATTAGTACTTCCACTTTTATGTTTGACCAATATACAGTACTTACTGGTATAGTTGCATTACTAGCACTGCCGGGCATGATCTCTCAGAAAGTTATGGCATAGTTGTTGAATGGTCATAACGTTGCTGAGGTCTCGCTCATTCTAGCTTTTCTTAGGCCGTGTAGGGAAGCTTGGTTGGCTGACGAGATTTAACCAAAATTAGCTGATGACGACCTTGGATATTCTGTGTGGTTCTCTGAGAACTACGCCATTCATGAATGATTATTTGGCTCGATGGAGCCATCTGTTTATAAGATTTACCAATTTCATAACTCTGTTTCGAAGCTATGGAGCGCATTATCAGAGATGTATGCTCAGTCAGGATGGAGAGTTCGTGTTTATGAGCTTTATCAGGAGCTCTCATATGCTCGGCAGGGAGATTTGACCGTTTAAGATTATTATGGCTATTTGACCCAGCGCTTGTTTGAGTATGAGACTTTACGTTCTCTTGCTGCTATTCCGAGGATAGAGCCAAAGGGAGTAACATTCTTACATACTCAAGAGCAAGAGCATAGGATTCACAAGTTTCTTATGGGGCTTCGTGATGAGTTTGAAGGGCCTCGTTCTCAGATCTTGTCGATGTTGAGGCTTCCTTCTATTTATAAGGTGTATGTGACGATTAAGCAGCATGAGCGCCGCATCTGTATTACATTACTTCCAATTGTAGCCTTGACTCCTCCGGCTGACCAGATGGCCCTTGCAACTGCTGTAGGGTCTTGTTTAGGATCCTTAAGGGTGGACAGCGCTCAGACCAGCGTCGTCAGAGTGCCCCAGATTAGCGTAGACAGGGGAATTCTCATCAGTGTAATTATTGTAGCCGACCAGGACATCTCAGGGCTGCTTACTGGAAGCTCCATCCGGAGTTTAAGCCGCCTCCCCGCGACTGTATTGCTGTTATTGCTGAGGTACTACCACCTATTGTCGTTGTTCCAGCTAACTTGATGGCTTGGGCAGGCTAGGACAAGCCTAGCCTGCAAATCCCTTGGTTTGGGTCTTCTCACTCCTCCTCATTAATCCTTCCTAGGTTTACATCCCCGATTGAGTGTCTTTTGAGTCTTTTTAAATCTCTTCCATGTCTTTCCTTCCTCCTAAAGTCTTTGTGTGTATTTGTTTTGTATATGATTATTGGTCCTCTTGGAAAAAACTTGATCCTAGGGCTCTACGATGTGTTTTTGTTGGTTACTCTGCCACCCAAAATAGATATAAATGTTATCATCCACGGTCTTAGAAAATGTATGTTAGCATGGATGTTACCTTTCATGAATTTGAGTCCTTCCGTAATACCTAGGCTCTTGAGGGGAAGAATGCTACTATACTGGAAGAAATGTTTTGTGAGTAACCTCTTCTCAATTGTCTATTTAATGAAATGTTAATGAGGGGGAGCAATAGCTTATGGAGGAAAATGGTGGTGATATCAATGCACATGGTGATCATCTTCTTTGCAAGGATAATCTAAAGACTTATACTTGGCATCAAAAGATACTGATTAACCATCTTTACCTATGTGCTGCCAAACCAGTTAAATTCTACTACTATTCCACCAAACACTAATTTATTTGGTAATGAATTTCCAAGTGTTATTCTTTTTTTGGATAATCCAATTGTTGATGACTCAAAGCTTCCTATTGCAATCAAAAAGGTTGTTTGAGCTTGTATTCGACATCCTATCTCTAACTTTATATCTTATGATATTGATTATCAAGAGATTTTTGTGCCTATGACAAAGATGAACTCCATTCGTGAGCATATCTCTTATGCAGCTAGTTTGGGGTGGAATTTGCATCAATTAGATGTGAATAATGCATTCCATCACAGTAATTTGGAGGAGGATGTGTACATAGAGATTCCTCTAAGTTTTTCATCTCTGATAACTAAAAGGAAGGTGTACAAATTGAGCAAGTCTCTCTATGGATTGAACCAATGCCCTAGAGCTTAGTTTGATAGGTTTTGTAAGGCTATGTTTAAAATTGGATATAGTCATAGTCAAGCTGACTATATTATATTCAGTAGATAAGTTGATGGCAAGATCAAAGTCCTCATTGTATATGTGGATGACATAACGATAATTAAAAATGGTAAGAGTAAGTTACCAAATCGAAGGCTTCATTGGCTAAGGAGTTTGAAATAAAAAACTTGGGCCCATTGGGATACTTCCTTTGGATTAAGGTTTCCTGGTCGCGAATAAAAGTGTTTTTATCTCCTAAAGAAAGTATGTTCTTAACTTTTTTGAAGAGACAAGGATGTTGGGATGTGGACCTACAGATTCTCTTATTGAAGTCCACCATCGACTGACCGGTGGCATTGGTGAGGTAGTAGGAAAGGAGAGATATTAAAGACTAGTGGGAAGATTAATATCTCTCACATACCTAACAGATATTGCTTATGCAATAAGTTTTGTCAATCAATTCGTGCATAATCCTTGAGCCCCTTATCTTGAAGTTGTTTATTGCATTTTGAGGTATGTTAAGTCAGTTCTAGGAAAATGGATCTTATTCTCCAATAATGGTCACTTGAAACTAGAAGTATTTTGTGATGTAAATCGGACAAGTTTAGTGGATGATAAAAGATCAACCCGAGGCTATTGTTCCTTGTTTGGAGGTAATCTAGTCACATGGCGAAG